TTTCATTCGACTCCGCTCAGATTTCAGCATATAATAAAAAGTTATATTGTACTTATCCCCAAAATTTACTATTGTCCTAATATAGTAATTATGCCGATCTTATCCGAATCATCAATTAAAGGGTTTTGGCAGCCAGGTTATAAATAAATAGCTTATCTGTCCCCTTACCTGAATTTATAGACTATAAGATAACTTTCAATCTTTGGACCAACTATAATAAAGTTTCTATTATGACATTATATTAATAAATATATATATATATATATATATATATATAATTAAATTTATCTTTAGAAGGCTGACAAATATTAGATTATTATACCCCCCTTCTGAAATTTTATTTAATCCTACTCAGAGTTAGTTATTTGATATAGTAAAATTTACAAAAAATGTATAATTGGATTTTTGATAGTTGATAATACAAACTGTCAAAAATCTAATTATGTATTTTTTGTAAATTTTACTATATCAAATAACTGACTCTGGGTGGAATTAATTAAAATCCCAGAAGGGGATATAATGAGCTAATATTGGTCAGTTCTCTTAGTATATTGCCTTATACAAATGAATGATTTTTTACAAAATTGTATAATTGAAAAAATATTATATATTGCTAAAATTTTCTTGCTAATATAATTATCTTTTAAAATATAAATTTTGACTTCAAGCCTATTTACCAAAATAGAACACTTTATAAATTTTCAATATTTATAAGGTGCTTGCTTAATATAAAGTTCTTTTTGTATATTTTTTCATCAAAAAATGTAAGTTACAAGAATTCTTTACTTTTTGTTAAAGTTATATCTGCAAATTCTGCATCATTATATATTATTATTGCTAGAGTATTTTTAATAAAAATTTATTTAACTATTTTAGTATTTTAAAATAAGATATAGTTTTCTCTCTTGATTATTTGACCAACACTTATTCTACAGAACCCCGGACATCTCTCATATAGGTCATAACTGATCTGCGTAAATTTGGGGGGTTTTCGCTACTTCTAAAATCAAGTGAATTTGCTAAAAATTCAATATAACATATAAATTTTATAGTAATTCGCTGAAAATTCATTTATCACATATATATTTATAAAAAAAATAAATTTAGATGTATTTTTGAGTGCTAAAAAAGTTTACTTAGAATATAAAGTTATAATAAATTAGTAAAATTTTGAAAATTATAGCATTTTTTAGTATTTTTATTAATAAAATTATATAAAATATCAAAATACTCAAAATTTTACTAATTGATTATAACTTTATGCTCTAACAAACCTTGTTCAGCACATAAAAATACACTATAATAGCATATTTAAGTTTATATTTCTTGAAAATTTAAGAAAAGATGCATAATTTTTGATCAAAAAATTTAAAATTAAGCATCTTCTCTTGAATTTTGAAAAACTACAGTGGTTTAAAAAATAAAGTAGCTTATTTTTGAGTATAATTTTTTCCAAAATGTAGGTAATTCGCTGAAAATAATATATAACATGTCTAAAATTGATGTAATTCGCCAAAATAGTCAATTATGACCTATTTTAAAATTTTTGTCAATTCGCCAAAACTTTACTTTGAACCTTTGACCAAATTTTTGGCAATTCGCTGAAAAAAAAATATGACATATATCAGAGATGTCCGGGGTTCTGCACTATTGCTTTGGGTAAACTACTTAAATTAGACACCAAAGGTGCATATATGGCTTGATATACTCTCATTATAACTGAAATAATACTTAATAATAATAAATCACCATTATAAAGAGGTCACCTTAACATTAAAAAAATAAAATAAAATTTATATATGATATATGTGTGACAAATTGTGTGACTACTAAATAATTAAACTTACAGATATATCATGATTATTTATCTGCTTTGAATAGTTCTTTATTACCTATGTAGAGTAATACTTAATCAGACGATTTAATAGCACTTATATACAGTATATCAGTAAATAAGTACAACTATAAATTACCTGATTTGGCCTGATTAGCTGCGCTAATCTCGGTTTTATAGCTGCAGCACGTTTTAAATTATATAATATTAGAATAAATAATATACTGTAAAATAAGTTTTTATTTAATAAATAAATAAAAAAACCTAATTTAAACACCTGTATTATATAATAATAATAATTCATCTGGTAAATTTCTTTGATAATCGTTTCAGCTTTTAACTAATCCTTCAAATTGTTTAATATATAAATAATCAACATTATTAATGATTTTTTTTAAATTATAAATTACTACTTCAATTAAATCAGATACTACAAACTTGTTAATTTTTTTTATGCTATTTTTTTTCTTATAAATATTATCAATAAGTTTTTGAATTTGTTCTAAAATATCTTGTTGATTATTACATAAATTACAACATTTTTTATATTTACATTGGTTATAAATATCAAAAATTTTTTCACCTATATAATTATATAAATTATAATACTTCATTTTGATCCAAGATTTGTAAAATTCTAAACAATCAAGATAAAAATTATATAAAACACTAAGTTTAGTTTTAAATTTTTTTAATTTCTGATTTTTTTTATCAATATTTCTTTTACAATAACATAATTTATCAATATTTTTAACAAAAATTAATTTATATGTTTTATATTTTCTTGATTTGGAGTTTGGACCTTCGAATTCAAGATGTTCAATTAAATTTTCCCAAAAAATATGGTTGTTGAGAATATTTTTCCACTCTTTACACACTAGAGAAGTATTATAAAATTTAAAAGGATCATCAATATAATTGAAAATTAATATAAGAGGATGAATAACAGCATTTTCAATTTTTAATTTTTTAGATTTGTTTTCAGGCACAGTAATTTTATGTTTCATTTTTAAAGTTGTATATAAGTAAAATTATATTATTTATATATTTATTTAAGTTACACAATAAATTTTTTAACTCTG